AAAAAAAAAAAAAGTGAAACGCTTGGAGCCAGGAGCATTTCAGATATTGGAGTGTTTTAGATTTTGGAATATGTGCATAGACTTTACCAGTTGAACACTGCTAGCCTGAAAATCTAAAATTTGAAATGTTCTTAATTCCAAAACTTTTTAAGTGCTGACAAAATTTTGGATTTTTAGATAAAGATGCTTCACTTGTAGATACTTAAAATATAATAAACTTATTTTAACAACATAAAAGAACTGACAAAATAGAAATTATCATATCAAAATCTGAGTGGGACAGTCTTGCCAGTTCCCCATTCCTCTCATTTTTTCCCAGTTCTTCTCTAGAACATTGTTCATTCTGGATTTATCTTTTTGCTGCTTTGATTTAATTTGTTCTTTTATCCCTCATATTTTCTGTAAATGGTTCCTAACAGTATTAACATAATTGGTTATTTACATCATCCCATAATACTTTCAAAATACTACAAGTGATACAGGTAGATATAAAATTTAAAATTTCTTTGCATCATTGTTCTTGTAATAGATTTTTAAAAAGCACATGCAGTCAATTCTGTGTTCTGTTCTAAGGCAACTTGAAATAATTCTTTCCTCTATTTCTGTATTATGAACTTAACAAAAATTTAGGTTCATCTTCTCAGCCAATTTTCAGGTTTTAGGGATCCCTCAAGTCAAATTATGCAATAAGGCATATTCAAGAAAATCATGCTTCTCTGGCTCTCTCGTCATATTTTCTTCCTCCTTCTATTAAGCTATTTTTATTGGCTCTTGGTTGAATCATAACACTATTTCTTTTTGTAAACATAAAAAATATATTTATGTGTATATATTATGTTCTTTTCCCACCATCCTATACAAAAGGTTATATACTGTATACACTGTTATATATCTTTTTTCTTTCTTTTTTCTTAGTAATGTATCTGGAAAGTCATTCCATCTCAGTAGATAGGGATCCATCTCATTCATTTCATGATAAGTGGTATTCTATTTGGGAATGTATCATGATTTATTTGACCACCCTCTGTTGGTGGGCATCTGAGTTGTTTCCAGACTTTTGCTATTACAAATAATGCCACAGTGAATACCCTTGTGCCTGAATAATTTTCTATTTTTGCCAGTGAATTTTTAAAAATGCTTCTTAGAAGTAGTATTGTTGAATAAGAAGTTAAGAATGCATTTAGAATTTTGTTACATATTACTAGATTCTTCTTTATGAATTATACCATTCTCTAGTCCCACCAGCAATTCACTGTAGACTTTGTTGTTGAACTTTTATATTTATATCACTCCTGTATCTCCCTAATTACGAGAAAGATTGTATATCTAATGTTTTTTAAAGAGTCACTTACATTTTTTTGTGACTGTCTTTTATATCTTTTGTACAATTTTTTATTGTGTTGTGGGTCACCCCTCCCATATTTAGGAGCTTTTTAAATTTCAGAAATAATATTGCTTTGTCTTGATTTAAATTGCTATTATTTTTCTAGTTCATTATTTGTCTTTTGACTTTTTTGTTAGGTTATTTTTTGTTTGTTTTTTTGACATTTAAATGTTTCATGTAATTGAACTTTTTTCCTTTTTTTGCTTCCAGATTTTGAGTCTCAGCAAAAAAGATATTTTCCCACTTTCAGATTATAGTGGTTTTTTTTTTCCTTAGGTACCAGGAATTGAACTCAGGACCTTGTGCTTCCTAGGCAAGTGCTTGTGCTGCTGAGCTATATCCCCTGCTTCCCACTTTCAGATTAGAAAGGAACTCAGTCATATTTTTTTTGTATTATATGTATGATTCCATGTTTTGTATTTAGATCTCTGGTCTACTTGGTATTTGTTCTAATGTAATGTGAAATGTGGATCTAATTTTATCACTTTCCAAATGTCTATTCAATTGCCTCAGCACTTATTCCTACTGATTTGATATTTGAGTATTTCTGAACTTTCTGTTCTGTTGCATTGATCTGTTTGTTAATCATATAGCAGTACCAATGTTTTTATTTTATTTATTTATTTATTTATTTTTTTGGTTTTTCTCCGGTACCGGGAACCGAACTCACGACCTTGCGCTTGCCAGGCAGGCGCTTTGCCGCTGAGCTAAATCCCCAGCCCCCCAATGTTTTTATTATTTTATTTTTGTTTGGTTTTTTGTTTTGTTTTGTTTGTACTGGAAATCGAACCCAGGACCTTGTGCTTGCCAGGCAGGCTGTGTGCTGTGGAACTATATCCGCAGCCTTGTTTTTATTATAGATGCTCAAGTATTTTGCTACTTTTTTTAAAATCAGAAATTAGGTAACAACAATAATTAATGGTCAGATATCTGATTCATTATTTCCCCACCACTACCACCACCAAATAGAATTCTCATGGGGTGTGTGTGTGTGTGTGTGTGTGTGTGTGTGTGTGTGTGTGTTTTAGTCCAAAATCTAAATTCTCTTTGCTTCTATATCAGTGGAAAGAGTGTTAGATCACAAATTAGGAAACAAACTCAACCCTGGGACTATTTCTAAGCAAATCAATTTGCATTACCTTCTGGGTTGTTTCTGAATCTAGTTAATGCAAATCTGGTAAGAGCACGAGTAGTTAAGTGGTGTGAGGTCCGTCTACCTTTAATTTCCCCATACCTTGTCTTTTTGTTGTTTGTATTCATGAAATAAGCTGTGTTCTGGATCCTGACTCTTTTAATCTTTTTTGGGTTTTTCTTTGCTCCAGCTTGTTAAGTTTGTTTGTTTGTTTGTTTAAGACAGGGTCTTGCTATATAGTTCAGGCTAGCCTTGAACTCACTATGTAGCCCAGACTAGCCTTGAATTCACAGTGATCCTCCTGTCTCAGCCTCCTTAGTATTGGGATTAACAGGCATGCACCACCATGCCGGGCTTGCTCCAGCATTTTTTCTCCAATAATTACTTTCATTAGCTTCCATTTCTCCCTGATGATTAAGCAAGGATTGCCAGTGTTTGGCTGCTTAGTTTCCACTGACCTCAGTAGGAAAAAATTATATTTTTGTTAGTGTGAAATAGGTTTCCCCTGGCAGACACTCCTTCAAAAGAGGAAAACAAACACACACACACATCCAGGTGCTGCTGTCAAGTCTGTTCTTGTGTAAAGAGCAGAAGGAAGAAAATACCCATCTTTTTAAGATTTCAGGAAAGAAGGTGGTAATAAAGAAGCAAAAGTGTGGAAGAGCCCTTCTGGCAACTATTTTATTTGTGCAATGGGAAGTGCTAGGATGGATTCCACGTCAAAGACTTGACCAAATATAAAAATACTATCATTTATCCTAACTAAAATACTTAAATTTAAAAGAATAATGGAAAATGCTCAAACTTTTGATTGCTGCTGAGTAAGTTAGCCTTAAAGTGCTAAATTTAAAACCAGGGGAATGGTGGCATATACCTGTAATCCCAGCACTCAGGAGGCTGAGGCAGGATGACCACAAATGTGAGCCCAGCCTGGACTACATAGTGAGCTCAGGCATAGCCAGAATTACATAGCAAGACCTTGTCTCCACACTTGATCTTAGACAAAAGGCCGAGAAGCGATGAGACTTTGTCTCAACAAAACAAAACAAAACAAAACAAAGCTAAATTTGAGCCAGGCTTGGTGGCACATGCCTGTAATCCCAGAGAGGCAGGAGGATTTCAAAATCAAGGCCAGCCTGGGTGATTTGGCAAGATCCTATCTCAAAAATAAAGGGCTAGGGTTGTAGCTCAGTGGTAGGGTGCTTGCTTAGCACGTGTGAGGCCCTGGCTTTAATATTCAGAACCACCAAAAAATGCTAAATTTTGAAAGCACATGAGAGAAATATTTTTAATGTGAAAGACAGAAGAGAACCAATGTAATATGATAAACATACTTAGTCAGGAAAAGAAAGTAGCTCAAGGAAGTGCTCCTGCAGATAGGAAGCATTAATGGCCAGTATTATGGTTTGTGTCTGGATGTGCCCCAAAGCTTCGTGAAGTCATGGGGGCTGGGCTTTTCAGAGGTAACTCAATCTATAGAGTTCATGATTGGTTCATGGTCTAGTGCTGGGATTGGGGGTGTGAGTGCTACTCTCACCAGGGGGGTAGCCTGTATACAATGTAAAGGAGGAAAAGAGGCTTGCTCCTCCCCTGTTGCTCTTGTTGCTTCTGCTGTCTTCCACCGCCATGAGCTGTTGCCCCTCTGCCATGTGCCACCCTGCCGTGCAGCCAGCAGATCATGGACTGAAACCTCTACAAACTGTGAGCTAAATAAACTTTTCCTCCCTTTAACTTTAGGCATTGGGTATTTTGTCTCAGCAGCGAGAGAAAAGATACTAAGAGAGTCAGTAAGGGATGGCTTTGAAGACTGAAGGACAAGCATTGTGTATAAAATTTCAGTGTCCGGAACCCTACTGGTTTTTATTACAGATGGGGCTTTGTCAGTTTCTTGAGCACTATTGCTACAAATAAATGCTGCAGTCTATTCTGAAAACTCTAGAACTGTGAGAGGTTCTCCAAGGCTAAGCTACCAATAAGGCTATGATATTTCATTCTGAGTGACCCTTTCTCTGGAGCTAAGGTGGGGATAAGGAGGGAGAATCTGCATTTCTTGGGCAAAGAAGCACTTCTGCTGTCATGGGCTGGTGTCTGTGTCTAGTGTGACCACCCTCTGCCTCCACTTTGACCAAGGTTGGGCCCAGCTCTACTTAGTATCTCACATTTATCAGTTGTCAGGTAGTAGATAAAAGATGAAATTCTACATTTTAAGAAAAGGTGGCTTTAAAACAAATTTAAATGTATAGTGACAAAGTGTGTCCTTCCCTCTATTCTTCTCTTCATCAGACTTCATTTTGTTTTGGATTCCTAGACATATAAAGAAGAAACTTTTAAAATAGGCCAGCTTTAAAATTTGTTTTCCCCCCCAACTTAATAGGAAAATGTCATGTTCATATTATTTTCAGGGTGATTCCAATCTAGCCCTCCAGTTTGATGTTTTAATATGTTTATGTTACTATTGCCAGTGAGACAAAAAAAAAAATTCTCCATCTTTGAACATGCATTTTAATCTCTCATTCCCATAAATTTGAAATATTTGTTTAGCTTGTGAGGTATTAACTTGAAACTTGGAAGTATGCATTTAACCCCTTTTCCTCACCACCCCACACTCTGAAATGGAAAAATACAATTTTATGTATTGAGAGTAAGTGTATACATAGCACTTCACAGAAAAATCTGTTGGGTTATAAGTATATGTGGAGTGCTTATTTCCTAAAAAGATTAAGTTATTGAGATGTGTACCATCCATACATGTAAAATATACTATACTTGAAAGATAGGGAATATAGCTAGTAAATACATCACTGTTAATATAATTTTTTTTAAAATTCCACTTATACACATGAGCTTTAAGCATATTTCAGGTAGTTCCTGAATAAAAATCAAAGTTGCCTGCCATTTATCATGTACTTTGTCCCATGAAGAACAAAGGATGGAGACATTTAAGGATGGAAGTCTGGCTAAAAAGCAAGTTGTAATATTTATAAGAGTTCTGCAGGTGGTGTTGGCAGGGATTTGTTAAGATCTTGAGCAGAGTCAGGAGGACCAGAGAACTCCTGACACTGCATCTCGCTGGAATCTTCTTGGTTTTTTACAAAATCTTCTTGATGCAAGGGCAAGTTAAATGACTCGGGGGGTGGTGGAAATGACTGTTCAATATCAGAATTAGGATCTTCACAGGCTTGATTTACACCTTCCAGAGATGGTTGGAGATTGGCAGACTCATTTGGAAGAGGAGATAGAGTTATCATCGTGGGTTTGTCAGATTGGTTACTCTCCTGTCCTTCCAGATCAAGAAAGGGAGGTGGCAGAGGCATGTCTGTATCATCCGAAGAAGAGACAGCAGTACCAATTGTTGACCTATCAGCACTGTCCTCTGATATACCATTTATTTTATCTTTTTTATCTTCTTTTAGGGGGTTGTCGGCATCTTCAATGTTTTCACTTGATTCAAACAACTTAACTTCTAAGTCATCTGCTAAAAGTGTGCTTTTGTTTGGTTTCCAAGTCATAAGTGAAACAATTGATGTTCGTTTTGTGGCAGGTTCATTTTCTCTAATATTATCCATACACATGTCAGGGATTTCTCCATCAGCAAATGGGGACCTGCCTGCCCAATTTTGATCATTTAAAACAGGCCTTCTTGAGCATTTCCATAGTACAATCATGATTATTGCTACCAACATAAAAATCAGAATTGTACCAACTATTATGCCAGCTATTGACCTATAATCTGTTTTTTTAATAACTTCATTGCCACTAGTAGTTTCTAAAATGAATCCTGGGGTATTCCTAGGTAGGTTTTTGATTGTTGATATTGGCCATGTGGATAGATTACCAACAGTTGGTAGTACTGGGTTTCCAGAAGAAGCGTGAACAGGTGATGGTGGTTGTTCAGTGGGAGGGTAGACCGATGGTGTTGGTGATCTGGTGGAAATGTGGGCAGAAGATGGTAGCTTTTTGGCAGAGGTGAGTACAGGCAGCGCTGTCAGTGGGGAGGAGATATTGACTGTTGGTGTTGGTTGTCTGGTGATATTATAGGCAGGTGGTCTAGCAGAACTGTGAGCTACTGGTTTTCCAGAAGAGACAGAAATAGTTGGTGTTACTTGTTTAGCAATCTTGGCAGGTGATACTAGTTGTCCAGGAGAAATGTCACTGAAATGTGTTGGTTGATCCAAAGTCTTCCCTGTTGTGTTTTGAGAATCAGCTGAAACGTATGACATTGGTGATGTAAATAAAGTAGACCGTGGCTTCTCTGTTGTAATTGTTTCTGTGTTTGAGAAGAACATATTGTTTGGGTATCCAAAAAACAAAACTAAGATGAAATACTTGGGATCCATTTCAAAATGTTTCCTCCTTAACAGTGGTTTTATAATAAAAGAAAGAAAGACAGTTAAGTGTCATTTGCTATCTAGTTACATTTGACTTTTCATTACAATGTCTGGCATAAAACAGGTAAATGCCTGATTAGTATTTATTCCATACTACACTTGACACCATAGGCTAATGTAAACAACTCTCAGATAGACTACAACTCATCATACAGCATTTGGACTTCCTGGACAGTGACCCCTTACTTGTTCTTTTTTTTTTTTTGGTACTAGGAATTGAACTCAGGACCTTGCACTTGCCAGGCAGGCGCTTGTTCCACTGAGCTATATCCCCGGCCCTGACTCCTTCCTTACAGAGCTCTAGTTGGCCGTGCAGTCTCCAGCACCCAGCTTCCTTATATTACCCATCTCTCACATCATACTTATCAAATGCATAGGCTTAGTATGCTGAGTCCATGTGCTCTTTGCCTGTTCACTCTCTAGTGAAATACTAGAAATGTATTTGTTCGGCTGCTTTGAAGAATACCGGAGACCATCTGTTTCCTTAATGCAGTTGTCTTTACTTCTCCTGTTTTCCTTCTTCAACATTTGACACTACTGACTGTTCTTTCACTGATATTTTTGAGTAGCTGTTTATAATGTAGTCTTCCTTTCATGACACTTTTTTTTTTTTTTAGACAAGGTTGCACTGTGCAATTCAGGCTGCCCTTGAATTTGCTATGTAGCCCAGGCTGGCCTTGCACTCATAGCAGTCCTCCTGCCTCAGCCTCCCAAGTGCTGGGATTGCAGGTGTGCAACAGCATGCCCGGCATTTCATGTCACTTTCACTAGCTCCCTTTCCCCTGTTCTCTACATACAGATGCTTAGTGTTTAGTTGTCTTCCTTTTCTCTTATTCCTGATTCTATAACATTTCTATTCTCACTTTTCAATTCTCACCTTTATGTTGTAGCTCCCATAACTGTATATCCAGCATAAATTCATTTGTTCTAATTCCATTTGTAGATTTTTTGGTGGACATTCTGTGTATATATCTGACCACCAGCAAATTCAACATATTTAAAATGGAATTCATCTTTACCTCAAGACTGATTCCCAGCAATCAACAAGTTCAGGCCCAACCTGGGATACTTAGTGACTTAGCAAGCCCCTGTCTCAAAATTTAAAAACAAAGCAAAACAAAGCACCCAAAAAACAAAAACAGAAGAAAAAACAATACTAGAGATGTATCTCAGTGAGAAGGCCCTGAGTATAAAATTCTCAACACACACACACGATTCCTCTTGCAAACTTTCTTTTTGTTTTTCTTTTAGTCAGAGCAAGATTCATGTGTGGAATGTGTAGTGTCCCTAACCCTTGCAGCCTCCATTATGTTAATAGTCCCATATTTGTAGTTGGGACCCACTTCAGTCCTGGTCTCAGAATCGTAGAATGACCTCTGAATCTGTTGGAGTCAGCCTTAGCCAATTGGTTGAGTATGCTTGCTGCTACTTCCATTTGTGTAAGGGGAGGTGCTTTCTGTCAGGCTCTGTTTTGGGTCTGTGATAATAAAAAGAGGAAGGAGGAAGAAAGGAACTGTAGATTGGTTGGTGGCTTCAGGTATTCTAGATTTCTTGTGGTAGAAATAGGCAGGCAAAAAAGAATTATATTAATGTGGTAATTTTCCTCATAGGGACATTTAGGAGGTACCCAGAGGAACTAATCTAGCTTAGGAGAGCTTCAGGGAGGGTTAGCCAGAGAAGTAAAACTGCAACTGAACCTTAAGAGGTTTGTAAGAGCTAATTAAGCAAATAAATATTGTAGCCAGGAAGAACATACAGGCACAAAAAAGGGGGGCACATTTTAAATGTGGCAGGTAGAGCCTTTCATGGGATATATCAAAGTTTTGAAGAGTTAAATTCCACATTTTACTTATACCAGCACCGCCTAAGTGCCTACCTAACCATGGAAACCAGTCCCTTAATCTCTCCTGTTCTTAATTGCCTTATCTAAAGTGCAAAGTGGGCCAGGGATAGAGCTCAGCAGCACAGCCCCTGCCTGGCAAGCACAAGGTCCTGAGTTGGATTCCCAGTACCAAAAAAAGGGGGCGAGGAGAAGTTACACTAAGAAAAGTTGTAAAAAAAAAAACTTGTAGCGCTGAGTGTAATATACTTGTTTTGCACATCACCAGGGTGTTAGATCCTTATGTATATGATAAGAAACCATAGTTTTTCTGTGAGGGAATAGATCTAAGAGAGATTTGATGCTTCACTGCAAGGCACAATAAAAGGTTTTTAAAATAAATAGACTTTCACCTTATTTGAGTAGTTTGCTTTTCCCTTTCATTTGATAGAGCAGTGATAATAAATGGCCCTATTTTAGTAGAAGAAAAATTTTTTTCCTTGTTTTGTCTCATCCTGTGTATTTCTCTTTAGTACTTGAAGCATAAAGTAGACAGTAGTTCTCCTTCAGACCACTCATTGGTGATGAGGTACTCTGAAAGCATACATGGTCTGGCTAGTAGTTCTTTGCTTGAGGTCTCCCCATTACTGTCCTGGTAAAGCTTCTAAACTTAATTTTCCTCCTTGTATGATTTCTAAACAAAACCTTTCTCACTAAACAGACATTTTTAATTTTGCTATTTTTTTACCCTCTTGAAATGTTTTTTTTTCCTAAATCTACCTTTTTCCCTCTTCTGACTGTATATGTGAACCTGACTTCATCTTGCAGACCTGAGTTTAAATTTTCCTCCTTTTTTTTTTTAAGACAGGGTCTCAATGTGTAATCCAGACTGGTCTTTTTTTTTTTTTCCGGTACTGGGAATCGAACTCACGACCTTGCGCTTGCCAGGCAGGCGCTGTGCCGCTGAGCTAAATCCCCAGCCCTCCAGTCTGGTCTTGCACTTTCTTATGTAGCCCAGGCTGGCCTCGAACTCACAGTGATCCTCTTGCCTCAGCCCCCGAGTGCTGGGATTGCAGGTGTGCACCACCACGCCTGACTTTAAATTTCCCTTCTTAAACCAAGTTCTCTGTGACTGAACACAGCCCAGAGAAATCAGTGATTCACAGATTCTTCATAGTTCATTGTATTTGTGGTTCCTTAGATAATTCTTCATTTGTGTACCTCGCTTATACTTCTAGTCTCTTAAATAATTATGTTTTATTACTTAGCTTTTCACATTTTCTTTTTGTTATTTCCTTTCCTTCAAATAAGATTATGAAGAACTTTGAAGAAGGAAGGAATAAACAGAAAAATACTTATCTAGAACATACTGCGTTGTACTTTCCCATGTTTTGTGTACTTTATTTAAATTTGACCTTTAAATAGCTCCGTGAGGCCACAGATGTAGCTCAGTGGCACAGCACCTGCCTGACAAGTGCAAGGTCCTGAGTTTGATTCCCAGTACCAAAAAATTTGAAAAATTAAAAAAAGAATAGCTCTATGAGGAGTGGCTGTGTGATTTACAAATAAACAAATTGAAATAAGAATTCTACTAGAAGATAAGCAGAGAAGATAAAATCTAAGTAAATTCTGGTTTTTATCCATTTTTCAAAATGTTTAAAAGGAAAAATGTTGAAACTTGGGGCATAGGTACAGGGATTTATATCATTGTTCATGATCATCCGGCATGCATTTTCAACCTTCTATTTTTATAGATAGTAAAGAAATAGACTTTGTTAGAAAATGTTATTCTTCAGTATTTTATTTTTTAAATGTTTTTAGAAACACTTTCCAAAGTAACAAAAGGTATAGGCTGTGAATTGTCTATAGCCAAAAGTGTTTCCTCTTTTGTGACTTTGCTTAAAATAAAGAAACCATATAGTTCCTCCTTTTAGTTAGCTGAAAAAGGCAGTGAAGGAGGAAAGAACCCAAGCAGGAACCTCATTATAAACCCAGTTCAGTTTGTGAGATCAGCAGTGATAGGTTCATATCCTCTTATGTCAGTAGGAAGTTTATAGAAACAGCAGTGTGTGATTTTCACTTGTCCTTTAAAGGTTACAGAAATGTTAAAATGAAACTGTATTTTTTAACCTAACCTACTACTTTCTCCCACTCTTCAGTTCACTATTTATCCTCTTAGAATCTGCTACATCAGAATAGTAGAACCTGTTAGAATCTTACCACAGTAATTTAGGATAGTGCAGGAAAGAGGCAGAAAAATTTAAAAGAAGTAGGGAATATAATTGTGGAAAAAAGTACAAGCACCTGCTTGGCAAGCGTGCAGTGCTGAGTTCGAGTTCTGGTACCAAAAAAAAAAAAAATTGTGGGAAACAACCCTGCCTTTTTCCCATAGGTGTTACTACCAGCAAGGAATGATACTTAACATACATGTTTTTAAATATGTGAGAGGTATGTACGTGAAGTACACATTGTTTCTGCAGGGGAAGAAGTAGTAACAAAGAACAATATTGGACACGAAAGTTAAAAGAGAAGAAAGTATAGAATAAGATAGAAAGAAAAGGCAGTGCAAAGAAATGCAAAATACTACAAAAGAAAAATGAAATAAATTATAGGAAGCATTAAATATATGGAAAAGGGAAGATCAATTGACTTAAAAAAGGTATTGAAAAGAAGAAAGTTAATAAATAGCTGGAAAAAACTCATGGTTTATGTAATTAGCAAAAAAGTTCTCAGTGATTGAAATTGGTAAAATGAAGCTGTGGAAAGATTAAGTAGATAACAGAAGCAAGCACAAAATGCTGCTCCCTGACCCCAGCCTGCGTGGGTATGGGAACCAGCAAAGAGGAATGGTCTGTCCAAGATGAGGAACTTAGGAGATGGACCACGCTAGTTTTCATTTCATGTTCTGTGCGCTATAAGTTTCTTTTTTTTTTTTGGTTTTGGTTTTGGTTTTTTTCCGGTACCAGGAATGGAACTCACGACCTCGTGCTTGCCAGGCAGGCGCTGTGCCGCAGAGCTAAATCCCCAACCCCTTGTAAGTTTCTTTGAGATTCATTTTCTCTCCTTCTCCTTCCTCCCTTGTCTCCCTCTTTCCTGACATTATCCAACAAGCATAGCTGTCAGTTACTCCAGAGGATCTAAACACAAACATCTTTGTATAATTCTTTAAAAATCCTTTCTCCTACCAACCTGTGTATGGCAACATTTTACTCCTTATTTTAAGCTGCCACTTAAGGTTTAAATCTGTGATTTTGATCCTTTGTTTTTCCTAAGTGTAGAAGTAAAACATAAACTTCTAATGAAAAGGCATTTTAAAGGCAGTTACAGTGAAGCAAGAGACCCCATGCGTTAGATAAGTTCATGTAAATGTAATACATAAGTACATAAAAAGATTCTGCATTTAGAATAAATGCTGTATTAGGGGCTGGGAATTTAGCTCAGTGGCACAGTGCCTGCCTGGCAAACGTGAGGTCGTGAGTTTGATTTCCGGTACCAGGAGAAAAAAAAAAGTAAATAGAATAAATGCTGTAAAGTTGGATATGTTAAGAAATATGCCTTTATCTTTTAAAGGGAATCAAGGGGGCTTGGGGACCGTATCCTAGAAGGCAAATACAGGTAGCTATACCAAAAATCGTATTTCCAGTTTCTTTAATATAATAAAAGTTACAGTGCAAATATAACATTAAAATTTAGTAGTTGTATTATCCCCAACTAGTGAAGTTTAGAAACTGTATAAAGAAGAAAACAATTCTATATTTTGAATATTTTGAGTGGAAAAGGAAATTGATTTCAAGCTACCAAGAGCAGTATTTGATGACCACCTTTTATCAGTAGTACTAGCTACTGTGTACTGAGCACCCAAGAAAATGCTAGGCATTATCCTGTTTTAATCATATAGGTGGTCATATTTTTATCTTACAGATAAGAAAACTGAGAACAAAGAAGTTGGGTGACTTGGCAAAATGTCACAGCCCTAAGTAGTGACACTAATGCAGAAACCATCCCAGTCTTGTACCTGTCCATTGCATGCTGTGCTACATTTCATAGCATCCTTATACTATGGCTTTGTGAAGTAAGGAGATGTAAGCTCTCTGGGAACCATTATGGAAGTAGTATCTGGAGATAGGGTTGCATAAAGGGTAAGAAAAAAAGTACTAGAACACTCAAGTTAGTCCTGTGACTCTATGAAAACAGTTACGGAAGTGTTGGATGGTAAACCTATAAGCTATCCTATTGAGTTAAGCTTCTGAAAATTTCTTGGCTTTTTTAAAAGAGTGGATATTGAAGGGTGTAAGATTTATAACATCTATAAATGCCTCATACACAGTAGGTAACCAGGAAATGTTTATGTTATTTCTTCATTCATAAGCCCAGGTAAAGGCATAGCTAAATTATTCTCACTGAATACTTTGTTTTTGTTTCCTTTTTTGCTGTGCTTGGGATTGAACCCAGGGCATAGTAATGCTACACTTCTGCCCAAAATTGCTTTTCTAAATAAGAAACTAAGCAAAGTATATTGAAAAGAATATGAGTCTGAGTAAAAGTTCCTTTGGACAAATCACCTAACCTGTCAAAAAAAAAATGGAGATTCTAATTCCTAATTTATAAATTTAATACTGCATTAAACAAGTATGAAGTACCTTGCATGGTAAAAATTATAGTAGATAACATAAGTATTGATCCATGTGCTCTTTTCCCCTGGTCCCTGCTGAGGAACCCCGAGTATTATGACCCAGTTCTTAATTCAAGGTACTTAAAACTTGCTACAGGCCGGCCATGGTGGCCTGTAATCCCAGAACTCAGGAGGCTGAGGCAGGAAGATTGTTGTGAGTTCGAGACCAGCCTGCTACAAAGTAAGCTCAAGGCCAGCCTGAACTGCATAGTGAGACCCTGTCTCAAAAAGACAAACTCAAAAGTTATTCAGAATTGGTAATTCTCAGTAGAATTATTTAGGAATTACATAGTTGAAAAACACAGACACTATTGTAAACTTTAAATTCACTAGATTAAAAAAAGCAATTAAAATTTTATTTTCTGGCTTCTGTAATAGTTACTCAGACAAAATCCAAAATGGACTACTGTAAGAGAAAGTCATATTTCTGAAGTGTTGAGATAAGATATAACTCACTATGAATTTACTATTCCTTAAAATTAGTTCTATCTAGACTCTATTTAGTTCTATATTTTTAGTTGTGTTTTTTTGAAACAGGGTCTTGATATGTAGTTCAGACTGGCCTTGAACTCACTAGGTAGCCCAGGCTGGCTTTGAACTTGCGGTGATTGTTCTGCCTCAGCTTCCCCAGTGTTGGAATTACAGGTGTACACCACCACACCCAGCAACCTCTTTTTATTTAGAAGATAAATTCACTTTGTAATTGCCTAGGTTTCTCACAGAGTAAGCATCTTCTATGTACATTAACAGTTTTTCATTGTTCATTTTGTAGATTTTTTTCCTGTGTCTCATACTCTGCTAAAGGCTCGAAGAAGAAAGCATGACATAAACATGTACATAATGTAAATATGTGTATATATTTTATAGCATTTTGTCTTAGGAATCTTTAAAATGAACTATAATATTTTCATGTCATTATTAAATATGAAATTTTGTTTGTATAAAAAATTAAACAGCTGCGTGTGGTGGCACACGCCTGTAATCCCAGCACTGGAGAAGCTGAGGCGGGAGGATTGCTGTGAGTTTGAGGCCAGCCTGGGGTACTTAGTGAGTTCAAGGCCAGGCTGAGCTGCATAGCAAGACTGGCCTCAAAGAAAAAAAAAATACAACAATGATAATTGAGTACCACATCTAATTAACTTTCCTTTCCTTTCTTTTCTTTTCTTTTTCTTTTTTAGGGTAAAAATGACCATTTTTACTATTGAAGCTAAAGGGAGTTAAAAAAAAGTAAAATTAGAATATTTTGCCAAGTTCCAGGGTGGAGCCCAGGGTCTCATGCGTGATGGGCAAGTTTCCACTGTGCTACACTCCCAGCCCCTAAAATTTTTAGCAGTTAATAGTTGGAGGTTTTAAATTGAGTCGTGGTCCATGGAATATAGTTTTACACCTTAGCTTTATCTGCCATGGCAATAGTTTTTTAAATACAAAACTGAATAGACATTTTGATTGAATAAACTTTAACAGGCTTATAAAAACTTAGATGAAAATCCTTCTCTAAGGCAAATGCAACATTGAATATTTTTAAAATTCCATTTAGTAATACCATAAAAACCTGTTGTAGACATCTTTAAACTATAAGAAATTGAGTTTAAGTTTAAAACAATAGTGATACTTTAGATTTTTAAATAAATTTTATATAAAGCAAAAATTAAACCAGATGACCTATGGGAAATTTTTCTTACCTGTTACTTTCTTTCGTAGAATGCTAAATCCTTGTTCTAACAGGACATGTTGGTGATTTGGCTAAGAAAGTAAAAGGGGTGGTTCAATTCAGATTAAAAATGGTCCTTCTAGCACACTGAAATGGTTTCTGTAGCACAGAGGAAGTTTATCAATAGCTGTTGCCGGAAGTGCAATAACCCACAAGATGACTAAGAAATGTAGTACTTTAACAGAACTTATTTCGAAACACAATGTATATGATTTGAGTGCCTTTAATTAATATTTGTAAGTAAACATTTGAGACCCTCTAGTACTATGATTATGCAACTTAAATATTTAGAATGGAGCCCTGAAGAAGAAAGTATGTATTTAAAGGAAAAACTGCCACCATTTGCTTAGTACCCACAGTGAGACCCTCCTAACCACCCACCAGCTTCATGCTAAGCCATATCCTGAGCCTTCTTTTTATTTTGTATTTCAAAATAGGGCCACCAAAAGTCACTAAATCATCCAGGCGAGGCTTGAACTTGCAAACCTGCCTGAGCCTCCCAGAGTGCTGGGATTACAAGCATATGTCCCATACCCTGCTGAGATTTCTTATTTTAAGAAATAAATTTTGTGTTCTGTTTATGTGTATGACCTTAGGCATGTTATTGCACTTCTGAGTCACCATTTCCTTCTCTGAAGGAGTATTTCCTTTATTAGATTATTCTGAGTATTAAATAGGTAACATCTATAAATGCCTCATACACAGTAGGTAACCAGGAAATGTTTATGTTATTCCTTCATTCATAAGCCCAGGTAAAGGCATAGCTAAATTATTCTTACTGAATACTTTGTTTTTGTTTCCTTTTTTGCTGTGCTTGGGATTGAACCCAGGGCATAGTAATGCTACACTTCTGCCCCAAAGTACTTTTCTAAATAAGAAACTAAGCAAAGTATATTGAAAAGAATATGAGTCTGAGTAAAAGTTCCTTTGGACAAATCACCTAACCTGTCAAAAAAAAAAAAAAATGGAGATTCTAATTCCTAATTTATAAATTTAATACTGCATTAAACAAGTATGAAGTGCCTTGCATGGTAAAAATTATAGTAGATAACATAAGTATTGATCCATGTGCTCTTTTCCCCTGGTCCCTGCTGAGGAACCCCGAGTATTATGACCCAGTTCTTAATTCAAGGTACTTAAAACTTGCTACAGGCCGGCCATGGTGGCCTGTAATCCCAGCACTCAGGAGGCTGAGGCAGGAAGATTGTTGTGAGTTCGAGACCAGCCTGCTACAAAGTGAGCTCAAGGCCAGCCTGAACTGCATAGTGAGACCCTGTCTCAAAAAGACAAAAAAAAAAAGGGCCAGGGATACAGGTCAATGGTGCAAGTGACTGCCTGGCAAGCACAAGGTCCTGAGTTTGATTCCCGGTCAAAAAAAAAAAAAAAAACCAGACCATTTCAAAAAGACAAAAAGAAAAAAGAAAAAAGGGGTTGGGGATTTAGCTAGTGGTACAGCACCTGCCTGGCAAGCACAAGGTTGTGAGTTCAATTCCCGGTACTGGGGAAAAAAAAAAAAAAAAAGAATAACAGAACAAAACTAAAATGTTACAGAATTTTTGATTCACTATTTTTAAATCTGTGAGGTAAACCATAATATGAAGAGGCAGAAAATAAAAGTGTTTTTATTTGAAAATACTGTACAATTTTGAAGTCAAAGATTTCTTATCTATCACCTTTAAATACCTGTCACGTTTTGGAAGGAACCACTTCTCTTAGTTTGTGAACACTCATTGGATGTTAGACTGAGGATGTCTTAATAGCCCATGTAATGAAACTTAAGTATCCCTGGAGCACATAAAAGCTCTCCACTGAGAAAATGTTTGACCAATATGTTAAATATGAAAGTAGTTTCCTGGTTAATTTCTTATTTTTATAAATATACTACCTTATTTTAGTCCTTTCTGACAAGTACTTATTTATGATACTTCATTCAATACTTACCACTGCCTTCTGGTGCACACTCCCAGATCTTCAGTTTATGTAAAATGAGAACAATACCCAGATTCCTTCATAATCTGGACCTTTGTTTGTTTGTTTGTTTGTACCAGGAATTGAACTTGGGATCTGGTGCTTGCCATTTTATCCCTTAGATGATAACCTGACATTACCAGGGTTGGTATGAGTGTTCTCATGCTTTTCTTTTTACTTTGTTCACAATTAGCTTTATCTGGAATTATATGGCTATGATTTGTTGTTTAGGGAATCTTTTTTTTAAAATAAATTGATAATAAAATTGTGCCATTGCTGAGGATATAGCTCAGCAGCACAAGTGCCTGCCCAGCAAGCGCAAGGTCCTGAGTTTGATCCCTGGTACCCTCCCCCAAAAAAGTGTCTGAGTAAAATTGTGCTGCCCCCTCCCATTTTAAGATGCAAACTAGATGTTTGGAGGCATGGAATTTGTAAAGAATGGATCTGATGACCAAAAGCAGTACTGTCTAGGAAGTGATACAAAAGTTGCAGTCCCTAGAATTCACCCCATTCTAGGTGGAATCAGGAAGGCATGGGAATTAGGCATGTGTGATTTTAAAAAATTTTGCATGTAAGTTTTGATATTTAGCCAGGGTGAAAACCACTGATCAAGAAACGAGAGTAAGATTATAGTCATGACCTTTTCTTAAATTACTAGCATGTTGCACAGAACAAATTCGTATTAGGAGATGGGGGGTTGGGGTTTTTTTTTTAAGATGTAACTTAGTCTTTAATTAGTATGTGCTCTCTCAGTTTCAGCAGATATTTGGAAAGTCTCTCAAAGCAATTTTTTTGAGACAGGGTCTTGCTTTGTAGTCCAGGTTAGACTTTTGATTCACTATGTAGCCCAGGCTGGCCTCAAATTTGTGGCAATCCTGCTTCAGCCTCCGAGTGATGGGATTACAGGCATGCACCACCATACCTGGCTTCAAATAAATTTTTGTAATATATTTAATTGACTTCAGTGTAATTCATTATTTTACTTGAAGTCAGTTTCTTAAAAGGTTAGGAAATTACCTGAGGAATCCTATTTTCCATATTTGAACAAACACTCAAATGCACATGCTCAAACACACATACACATATGCATACCTCTGCCTCTCCTTTTTTTCTTTTTTTTGACACAGGGTCTCACTATGTAGTGTAGGTTGGCCTTGAACTCGCTTTTTTTTTTTTTTTTTTTTTGGTTTTTCTCTGGTACCGGGAACCAAACTCACGACCTTGCGCTTGCCAGGCAGGTGCTTTGCCGCTGAGCTAAATCCCCAGCCCCTTGAACTTGCTTCTGTAGCCCAGGCTGGCCTCAAACTCACAGTGATCCCCCTGCCTCAGTCTCACTCTCTCGAGTACTGGGATTCCAAGCGTGCGCCACCACACCCGGCTTTGCCTCTCCTTGCTCATGTCACATTGGATAGTAAAGAATAAAGTTGGTCATTAGTTACGGTATGTGGCATCCTTGAGGTCCAAATACTAACCAGCCTTAAGTTACTTGTTATCAATGCTCTGAAATGCAGTATTTTTACGAAAGATGAGCCAACTGCAGCGGCTCACTCTTGTAGTTAGTGTGTGCTACTCAGGAGGCTGACACTGGAAGATCATGAGTTTGAGTCCAACCTGGGTAACCCGTTAAGACCCTATTTCAAAACATAAAAACAAATAATTTTTAAAAGCCCAAAATTATGGAAAAAAGTGAATGTTACTGTTAAATAGTAAAACATACTTTACATTTATGCTTAGCCTTCAGGTATGGCTGTAAATTTCACCTATTTTACTTGTATTGCATCTTACTGGTCTTCACAGTATACTCTAAGACAATGAAGTGAATGCACATATATATAGTCACAGGTTTATCTAATTTATTATACAAATTAAGTTTTAATATTTATAGTAGGAAAGCACTTCCTTATACGTACTATATATAAAGATGAAAGCATGTGCCCTAAAGTTAGCTGCAGTGATACATGGGCTGGTATGGATTCTGCCATATCCAACAAAGAAGGTACTTTTAAGTTACTAGGAATTTGACTTCTATTAGATAGTGAAGCATGTACTTGGCTCTAAGGACCTACCAAGACTTAAAAAGTTCAGTTACATTCAGGCAAAGATCATCTAACTACTAGTGCTGAATAGAGAATGTTTAATTAACCCTTGCTATCTCTTTTACCAAGTTTCCTCAACTTAGTTTTAAGGACTTCTCCAAGTACTTAGTTGTATTTTTTAAAGTATTCAGTGTCAAACAGAAATACGCAATTAAGCAGTTAAATAAGCAGGCATACATCTCCCTTTTGATGCTAAATCATCTGACCAGCGTGCGGATTTTATATGTGCTGCCGAAGTGAGCACCACACGCTGGCTTGAGATACCAGACTGATTTCCATGTATACTCAGAACCTTGCTCATCACTACTTTGCATTTTCCTTCCCTGAAGTATCTTTTAGTTAGTAAGTTTTTCAGTTCCTCCTTCATCTTTTCTTTCCCTTGTAGCTGTGAGCACTCCAGTAGATTGCATCATGAGATTGGGCCCTGTGAGCTGTTTTGCTCTTTTCCAAGTGTCTGATTCAGCAGGCCATAGCCCACTGCTTGCCAGAAAGTCGCCATTGCTTCTAGGCTGACGTTTGCCTGCTTGTTTTGATCGTCTGAGAGATGAGACTTTGTTTGCCAGAACCACAGTTGATAGAAATAGAAGAATACAGATGAGAAAGAGCACTGCAATTATAATTAAGCAAATTAGTATGGCCATGTTGTTGCTCTTTTCCTCACAGACATCCTTTTTAAAAATTTCACCGTGACTTTTGCTTGTGTTTTCAATGCTTTCTGCTGTCGAAGAACTGTTCCTGACAACAGAAAGTGTGTAGAGCTCCTGTTCAGATTTAGGAGTTAAAGACACAATCCGAGACGATGATGCTGTTTCAGGAATCTTGGTAGAATTAACTTTGTAATCCATTTTAGGAGTTACAGGGCTGGTGGTAATGTTTTCATTTTGCTGTCTGCCCGTGTTGTTTCGAATAACTGAATCCCAGGTGATAGTATTGTTAGCCAACAAATGTGTATAGTTTGCTTTTGTTCCAGAAGACAAAGAAAAAACGGTTGTCATCAGAAAGGCAAGATGCAGGTAATATCCTGTGTGTTCCATGTGCATGAGTATGCTGGTAATCTGTTGGAACAGAATATCACTTGTTAATCTGTGAAAAGATAATGGTTCATAGTTTTGGTAATTCTAGTTAAAAGACAAGACAGTTGAGATATTACAAGGAACCTACAAGTTCATGCCCAACGTTCAGTATTGAGTTCCTTCCGAACCAAGTTATTTTCTGTTATTCTTAGATTGTACATAAACATTTTAATTTCCATTGTACTTTTAGATGCTATAAATTGGCATTCTAAATATCTATTATAATCATTTCAAACAGAATACCATGGCTTTACATTTTTTTCCTTTTTAAGTATGTTAGACTTCAGCTTTGAGTCAGAAACTTCTGCTTTTACTCTTTTGATTCCTCATTTAAAGAAAAGAAAAACCATCCAAGGATCGTTCTTGCTGAAACTTCCCACCCTCCAGCAAATGTGGCCTTGAAAGTTTTGCTTCATGTACGGAAAGAAATGCAAGCTGCCTTTTGTTTTTTTAAAGGAGGGCAGCAAAGTTTGGTAGAAACCAAAGGAAAAGAAACTTCAAATAGGAATTTGAGATGTTCTTTTGTCTTTTGGGTTGTTTTGATGCTTAGAGTAAGACACTACTTAAAAATTATCCCCAGCATTTTTGAAAAACAGTTTTATGGTAGTGGTTCTTTGTTCACCTGTATTTTTTCTAACTTACTGTGACATTCTAAATGTAAAGGATGCTTATTTTCTCAACCTCAGAATATCTGGCAATACAAAGAAAAAGAAGCAGATTTCTTCTGAATCTCAAAACTGCAACAAAAGTTGGCTTTTTTATCATTTTGTAACTAGAATTTTTCTCTGATTTTGACGTAATTCTAAAAAAGAACTTGGTATCATTAAATGAGAAGAAATAGATCACCAGGATCTTGGAGACTTAGAATTAAGTGGCAGATTATAAGCATCCCAAAATATAATTGAAGAAGTTGATATTTAACCACTGGAAGTATAGCTCAGGAGCAGAGCGTATATATACTGAGCATGCACAAGGTCCTGGTTCAGTCCCTCGCTGCAACAACAACCAAAATGACATCTCAGTTTGGGATCAGAGCTTCCTAGACGCCAGTACCAAAAGGAGACAGGTTCTGTTCCTAATTCTTATTATCCACCATATTAGACTTAAATAGAATTGACATTATCAGTTCTGGGTACTGTTAACCTACCAGAAAAGATTTATCACCCTTAATGAGGTATCTCTTTTATAATAACATGTTAGTTTGTCTTACTTTTATAAATGTATTTTATTGTTAGCATTCGTTTAAGAGAATTATAAGCAAAAACTAGATTGTTCTGAGATTTACTAAATAAAATTACCTGGTTAAGAAGCTTGTGTACCTTACAGAAATTCTTTTTAAACTTGAATGTGCATAGGAGTTGTCTTCTTCTCCTCCCTCTTTTTTATTTTCTTTTTTGTTAGTGTAAATTTGGACTTGTCAGTTCTTGGGTGGGGCCTGAGATTCTGTATCTCTAATCCATTCTCAGGTGACACAGATGCTGCTCTGTTTGGCATGTTTTTGAGCATCAAGGTTTTATAAGTATCAATTATCAGATCTCCTTAGATAAAACTTGTATACTATTGAAATATATAGATTTAGATTTGCAAGTGTGAGAATACTGAGTTAAAAGAAAAGCAGCATACAATAAATAATGCTATTAACTTCTGAAGTAATAGCTCATATTAATAGTAGAGGGGGGAGAAAACTTTATTCAAAGTTCTGGAATCAAGAATACTTATTGGATTGAGACCTTTAATAGACCATTAAAGAGGTAGTACACTGAATACTGTTCAACTTTTAAATTAAATGATGTACATCTTTGGATATTTTATGATTCTTTCTCGAAAAGAAATACTTTAAATTAGCAAATAATTTCCACGCTTTTATGCTAGAATGGACTTCTGCAAAAATGATTTAAAGTGGGTTATTCTTGTCCCATCAGTTCATTAACAATGTGGTATACATCACAGTACTCGTACACATTTTTGCAGTGCGTACCACCGGCCAGATAATAGGCCCGCTGTTGATTGTCTTCAGCCAGATGTACTGCTGTGCCCAGATAAACAAACAAGGACAAAATGAGGCTCTCTTCCCAGTATAAATGCTTGGGAGTTAAAGGATTTTTCTACAGTTCTGAAATATGCCGTAAGAGGCTAGGTTATATTATCAAAAGCTTATCGCTGGTCATGTCAATGAAATTTATAGTGCCTAACCATTACTAATAAGAAATTATTTTAACACTTTAAAATAACAAAACTTTTTCGTTCACTTTTAGAGTCCAAATTTAGTTCTTTCCTAATCCTAAATTAAAACTCCATGTTAACAGTTATAAATCTTTCTGTTTTGTTTAGATCATAATTTCACATATAGAACAGGAAAAAAGCAGCACACATTTTTAATCACTTACGATTCTACTGTTAGTGAGATTTTTACTTATTTTTAAAAGACAGTTCTTTGCACAGTAATTTGAACAAAGTTATAAGCAAAATGACATAAGAAAAGCTGTATATATGACCTACCTTACAAAATGGTTGGTCAAAATTTGATAATGGAATTTTACTAAGCCACTTCTTCTTTTGTCTTCTTATTTAAAGTAGAATAGACTTAGAAAATACAAAATGTAAAGTACATCTGCAACAAAAAAGGGTACGTACAGCTAGCTTTCCACTTTTAAAACCAAACCACAGATGACACATTTCCTTTCCGCTGCAACTCAAGCACATGTCACAGAGAGAGAGAGGGAAAAAAAAAACTCCAGCTTGTCTTGCTGGCCGCTGGCATGACAGAAGGCTTTGTAGAACAAATCTCCGCCTCCAGAACAGGGAGGGTTTTCTAGTTAATGCCTTTTGACCTTTTGCACGTTATCTATGACTGCTATATTCTTTTGAGTGATATGTGGGTATTTTTCAGTAGGTAAGATGGCATCTTTGATGTAGTATTAAAATTTCTAAAATGCTCACCAGTATACTACAGATTGATTTGAAAATATGAGATTGAAGTCCTTGAGGTATTTGTCAGATAATAGAAGCAATGATACATATAATTGACATTTCAGATTGTGGAACTGCAACAATGATTTCAGAAAATATCTAGTAAACTTAGATTACATGGGAGCACAAATCTTTTCATATGGTACGTGCTCTGTCCTCAGATGTCTAAAATGAAGGTTGCCAAGTATGGTGGCACATGCCTGTAATCCCAGCACTTGAGAGGGTGAGGCAGGAGGATTGCCATGTGTTTGAGGCCAGCCTAGGCTACATAGCAAGACCCTGTCTCAAAAATAATTAGTTAAGTACACATTTTTAAAAATGGATGTCATTTTTTCTCCAAAAGTAGCTGCCCTTGTTTTATTAAGCCATAGTAGGCTTCTTGTTTCAGGTCATGATAGCAACATTCTTTGTAACCTCAGAGGCTTACAGCAGGTCCTTTTCATTTGTGTCCTTTCTTTGACTCCAAATTAGACTTCGGATTATGTGGGTTGTTCTTTTATATTCTTGAATCAGTTTTTTCCCCTTGTTTTTACTATCATAGTTTTTTTTTTCATCATCGTAGTTCTTATGAGGTTGTATCTAGCCAAGTGACAAATTCAGTATCCCTTTTACTAATTCCAATTCCTTCATTCATCTTGTATAAATAGATGTCTTTGGTCATGTTACTCCTTTATTAATATTTTGTTAAAATTGAGTTATTTTGGGGCTGGGGATATAGCTCAGTGGTGCAGCATCTTCCTGGCAAGCATGAAGTCCTGAGTTTGATCCCTGGTAGAAAAAAAAAAAAAAAAAGTTGAGTAATTTTCTCTTTTCAATAGGGATTAAGAAATGTTTGTGAAGATCAGATGAAAATGCTTTTTGAAAACAAGAAAAATGTCACCCCCCCCCATGTATTCATATTTAGTGTGCTGTGGCTGGGACCAGGAAATCCCATTTTAATCAAATACCACAGTTGATTCTGATGCCAGTGGTACACAGAACATACTCTTGAGAAATATTCAGTCCCTAGAAGACCAGAATCTCTTTGCTGAACATGTACACTTTATAGTTTGGCTTTTCTTGGCTGTATCTCTCAAAACCTCTCTACATGAATCTTCCATTACGCTAAACTAGTTCTATAATGCATTTAGTCCCCCCGCTTTTTTTGCCTGATCCCTCCTCTTGCTGAGTGCCAAATTCCTCCTACCCAGTTCAGCCACTGAGTCTTCTGTGTAGCTCTCACTCACTCCCAGTTTGTGTTGATCTGTCCTTCTTTTGAATTTAATAGCAGTTAGTCTGCAGTTCCTTTGCTAAGTGACCACATGCTGCATTATACAGGCTAATTATTCTTTGTCCAAAATACTTTATACCAGAAATGTTTTGGATTTCAGATCTTTTTTGGACTTGGGACTATTTGCAGATATATGAAGTATTTGAGGGATAGGATCCAAGTCAGAACACAAAATTCATTTTTTTTTATGTATACCTTATACGTATAACCTGAAGGCCATTTTTTACAATATTTTTAGTATGCATGAGGTTTGGCTGCAGCTTATCACATATGATCAGGTGTAAATTTTCCATGTGTAGCATGTATTGATGTTCAAAAAGTTTGAAATTTTGAAGCATTTCAGATTTTCAGATTAGGGATGTTCATCATTTGTATTTTATCTTGAAATACCTCGCTTTTGTTTAAAAACCATTTAACTTGTCATATTTTCATTAGATATCCTCCCAAAAAGATTAAAAAGCAGAAGATACTCTATTAACCTTAGCAAATTTAGCAATACTATCACTAGAGTATAGAATACATTGGGTCTGAGTTAGTATAGTTATTTTAATAATTTTGTTATAAAAAGATCAGTAGGAGCCAGACATAGTGGTATATGCCTGTAATCCCAGCACTCAGGAGGTCAAAGCAGGAGGATCACTGCAGATATATAGCAAGATTCTGTCTCCAAAAAACTAAAAAATAGGGGCTGGGGATTTAGCTCAGCAGCAAAGCGCCTGCCTAGCAAGCGCAAGGTCATGAGTTCGGTTCCCGGTACCGGAGAAAAAAACCAAAAATAAATAAATAAATAAAAAATTTAAAAAAAGTTGGTTGTGCTGGTACACACCTGTAAACCTAGCACTCGGGAGGCTAAGGCAGGAGATTGCCACAAGTTCAAGGCCAGCCTGGAATACATAATGAGTTCAAGGCCAGCCCAAACTACATAATAAGACCCTGTCTCAAAAAAAAAAAAAAAAAGCTGGGGGTGGACATAGCTCAGTGCAGAGACCCTGGTCAGACTCCAGTACCAAAGAGGGACTTGGGGGTAGGGGAGAACATGAATCCAGACTTTGAATAATTGTTTTCTATTATTGTGTTCTCTAGAAAATGAATCAGAAAATTTTAAAAATATATTAGTGGCATCATATTTATTCAGAGCTCTATTAAATCTTTTGGCCTTTTGTTTTATCTTCCTTAGGTTCAAAACTGGTCAAATCAATGGTGATTTGCTGATATATCACGTCTTGCTGACTTTAAAGCCATATTATGCAAAGCCATATGAAATTGTAGTGGACCTTACCCATACTGGGCCTAGCAATCGCTTCAAAACAGACTTTCTTTCCAAGTGGTTTGTTGTTTTTCCTGGCTTTGCTTATGACAATGTCTCTGCAGTGTATATCTATAACTGTAACTCCTGGGTTAGGGAGTACACCAAGTATCACGAGCGGCTGCTGACTGGCCTCAAAGGCAGCAAGAGACTAATTTTCATAGATTGTCCTGGGAAACTGGCTGAACACATAGAGCATGATCAACAGAAACTGCCTGCTGCCACGTTAGCTTTGGAAGAGGATCTGAAGGTGTTCCATAATGCTCTCAAGCTAGCCCACAAAGATACCAAAGTTTCTATTAAGGCAAGTTGTGTGTGTGTGTGTGTGTGTGTGTGTGTATGTGTGTGTGTGTGTTTTTTGACTGATTCATTGCTTTTCTTAACAAACCAGACCTCCCTAAGTATCCTTGTAGCTCTATATCAAATGTAAGTCCAGATGTAGGAAGACCCAAGATTTCTCTTTCAGAGGCCCTGCAGGAAATGTGGGAAGTATACACTTAATAATATCCTAGATTGGGTTGGAGGCAGAAGAACGTTGTAGAAAAGGTGCTGTCATTTATTGTCTGTCAGTCAAACAGTAAGAGTGTGGAGAGTACCTAGTGAGAGTTCTCGTTAGTACATGATTTTTTTTAGTGAGGAGCAGGATCCTTCCGGATAAAATCAGTACTTGTCTATAAGCATCTCAGCCTTTTTGAAAAGTAAACTTAAAATATTTTCTGATATTTTCAGGTGTTTTGAGAGTATTTATCACAGTAATTATTGAATCTCTGAATATATAATGGTAGTGACTCCTTAAATGGCATAGTGGGTAGATGATTGGGTTGGTTGGTTGGTTGGTTGGTTTTTGGGGGAGCCTTTTCAAGTTCTACATAGTAGAATTTAATAATTCTCCACTCCATCCCCTCACTCTCACTTTTCAGGTTGGTTCTACTGCTGTTCAGGTAACATCAGCAGAGAGAACAAAAGTCCTGGGGCAATCAGTCTTTCTAAACGACATCTACTATGCCTCAGAAATTGAAGAAATCTGCCTTGTGGATGAGAACCAGTTTACCTTAACCATTGCCAACCAGGGCACACCGCTCACCTTCATGCACCAGGAGTGCGAAGCCATCGTCCAGTCTATCATTCATATCCGGACCCGCTGGGAGCTGTCACAGCCTGACTCCATCCCCCAGCACACCAAGATCCGGCCAAAAGATGTCCCCGGGACACTGCTTAATATTGCATTACTTAATTTAGGCAGTTCAGACCCTAGTTTACGGTAGGTTTTTTTGTTTCTAATTCAGCTTTGTCCAGGATTTGCTCTTTTAAAATGAGACCATTTAATAAACTTTTAAGATAACCCTCTGTCTTAGTACTGTAAATTGGAAGGTATGCTGTGTTGGTTAACCAGTGTGACCTCATCACATTATGAGGTATTCACATAAACTGTGGAATTCTCAATAGGGTGATTCACTCTAAACCAGTACATGTTCTTTCTCCAGGAAACTTTCATCTAAAACAGACAACATAACAGACTTTTTTTTTCTTAAAGTAAATCTCCTTTTTAGCCGGGGTGGTGGTACACACCTGTAATCCCAGCACTCGGGAAGCTAAGGTAGGAAGATTGCAGTGAGTTTGAGGCCAACCTGAACTACTTATCGAGACCCTGTCTCAAGAAAGAAAAAAAGAGAAAGAAATTGCCCTTTTTTTAAAAAAAAAAAAAAAAGTCAACTACTAAAGTTATGTCTCCTCCTCTGAGTCCTCTAAGTTCTCCCATGCTTAAAAATATATCATTACTAAGTTTCCTGTCAAATCAGATTAGCATTGTTTGACAAAGGAACACCTAATGTTCAGTAACTCAAAGAACATTATTGCATACTTTGTACCTACAAAGGGATGATCAAAATATACATTAAATGTTTAAGTTTTAAAACTTAATTACAGTAAAAGACCCATTGCCATTAATCCCCCTAAAAATGTTCCTCATTGGCTCAGACTCACTTATTTGTGTTCTTGTTACTCTCTGAAGCAGTTCTGGAAGTCCGTCCTCTTTAAGAGGTGTGATCAAAACTTGGGTGAATGCTGCTGCCAAGGGCCATCCAGTGAAAACACAGCAGGGTGTCCTCATCTACTGTTCACTGGATCCCACACCATGCAACTCCTGGTTCTTGCCAAAAGTCAAAATGGCTATGAAAAGTAAATGCTTGAATTGATTCAGAACATTCAGGCAGCCATGACAGTACAACTGAATCACAAAACCAGCTTCAAAACAGGACCTCCATAACTGCTCTAGAGAGTGACAAGAACAATGGGATAAGTGTATTTGAAGTGAGGAGGAATATTTTGAGGGGGGTTAAAATGTAATGTGTCTTTTACTTTAATAAATTTTTAAAAATGTAAATATTCACCTTGTATTTTGATCATACCTCGAATGTCACTTTAATAGAATTCTTGAAAAAATATCTTAAGGCCAATATGTGATTGAATAGAGTAGAATTGGTTCTGTTTAGTCTTAATAATTTGTATGTAAATATAGAAAAAGCATGATGACAAAGCATGACCTGTGGAGTCAGTTGATTTGATTTGATCTAGATTGCTACTTTCTAACTTTGTATAAGTTTGAGGAAGGGTACAGAAGTCTCCCAGCCCTAGGTCCCTATAGTATGTGTGTTAGTATAGTGTGTCACCTAGCAAATAGTTTGTGCTTAGTAAATAGTATCCCCTTCCACTTTCCTTTTCCTCCCTTCCAAGGTCTCCTTATACCTCTTCTCCCATTTCTCCACTCTCCTTTTCATTTTAGAATAATTTCTTGGGGGCTGGGGATGTGGCTCAGTGGTAGAGTGCTTGCCTAGCGTGCACAAGGCCCTGAGTTCAATCCCCAGTACCACAAAAAGAAAAAATAGAATAATTTCTTGTCTCGAGTACCTTAGGATTGTCAGGATTTTTACAGAAAGAAGTTGAGCATACCTAAACAGAAAATACAAAATCCAAAGTGCTCCAAAATCTGAAAATTCTTGAGTATTGTGTCCAGAACTCATAACATTTCATATTTTGAAGCATATTGAGCTTCAGAGTTTTGAATTAGAGATGTTTACCCAATAAAGTCTATGCAAATATTCCAAAATTTTTTTTTTTTAAAAAAGAATCTGAAACACTTGTGGTCCTAAGTACTTTGATAGGGGATACTCAACCTGTTTAAATGCTTAGCTTCAGAAACTTCTCTGGGAAGAGTATAAAAGTATAAAACTCAGGTTTTACAGTGGCTCTTTTAGGATTTGAGATTTTCTTTTATTTAAAAGGAAAAAGAAAAAAGCCAGGCATGGTGGCACACACGTGTAATCCCAGGACTCGGGAGGCTAAGACAGGAGGCTCACCGTGAGTTTGAGACCAGCCTGGGCTACACACTGAGTTAAAGACCAGCATGAACTACAGAGTGGGACCCAGTCTCAAAAAAACAGAAAAAAATATATATATATATAAATGAGGAAAAAATAAACAAATTAGCAAGATTTTTTTAAAATCTGGATTACTCTCATAGTGTTGATCTGTGAACTCCAGAAGTGGTTTGCAAAATTTTACATATGCTGTCTTCCCTTATCTCATTGTATCTGTGGCCTTTATTCCCACCTGAGGAAGCTCTATTATTTTTTTTTAATAGCCCGATTCTTTATTGCTGTTATATAGAATAAACACTAGTAGCAAAATAGTGTAACTTAGACTCCCTAGAATTTAATGAAAGGTAAATAAACTTAGAATAACATTAATATTTTCATTCGAGGAAAATGAAACTGTACTCTTGCCATTCATTTCTAATTCTGTGTGCTTTATTGAAGAATGCTCTTAACAATACAGTAATTAGCTTGAGTGAACTTGTACTCTTTCCTGCTGGTACAGATTGATAGCTTGTACTTTTTACTGAAGCACGTCACCCCAAAAAAAGGTTTTTGGGCAAACTAAGTGTTCATGACTTTTTTCCTCCTATATGGTTGTTGCATAAATATATTGGCTGATGGCAATTCAGAGGTAAGGAAATCCTGAAATTTAATGAGCAAACCATCTTTTTTGCTGCATGGAGAAAAAAGTAGAATTTTAAAATTGAGTCTAAGTTCTTTAAGCTGTCTCCTAAAATGCTTAAATATATATTTTCAGTCATTTATAAAAGAATTTTTTGTTCTAATGGAACCTGGGTATTGCAGTTTTTTATTTGTTTCCATGGTTATGTATGATGTAATGAGGTCATAGAAGAAAAAATGAAGGAATTAGATTATACTTAATTTTGGTTTTGACCTTCAGTTTGTAGAGTAACTTGTAGGACAGAGAAATTGAGTGAATGCTCATTTTAAAGAGTCTAACATTTAATTTGGTGAGTGCCTACTTCATTTCTCATGATCTTCAGTGTGCCTGGATCTAGGAGAGAAGAAACCAAAATTTGAGTTTTGGCTTCACTAAAAACACGATATGCCTTATTCTATTTTTCTGTTGATCTACTTTAGGACCGTGAACCTCTCACGTTTTTTGTCCCGTGAGATGTCTTCTAGCAAGCCCTATATTCACCTGTTTTAAGGGTCACACGGTACTTTTCCAGTTATGTCAAAAATCTCTCTTCCCTAAATGATCCAGGGGGTATTTTGGGTTTACCATTTGTCTTATCTCTAATTGATCATAAAATTTAAAATTAGTGGATCGTGCTTGGTAATAGAACCTCACATTATATGTTATGAAAAAATTGGAATTTATAAGGAAAAGTAAGTTTTAAAACAACTTCATTTGTGTTTTCTCCTAGGTCAGCTGCCTATAATCTTCTGTGTGCCTTAACTTGTACCTTTAATTTAAAAATCGAGGGCCAGTTACTAGAGACATCAGGTTTATGTATCCCAGCCAACAACACCCTCTTTATTGTCTCTATTAGTAAAACACTGGCAGCCAATGAGCCACACCTCACGTTAGAATTTTTGGAAGAGTGTATTTCTGGATTTAGCAAATCTAGTAAGTAATGATAATTTTCTTTAATACTAACAGTGATTCTAAGAAAATTCAAACAAAACTTTTGTTTGTTTTGTTTGATTCTAAACAAAACTTTTGTTTCACAAAACCCTTTTGTTTCTCAACTTCTCAGTGAAGTCTTCCACTTAACTTTATTTTTACTTTTTAACCTCTTATGTTTTCATCTGTGGTACCCTGTAACTAAAGGAACTCTAAAAGAAATTCGTGATAGGACACGTGGAACAATCCACCAAATTCTGGCAATAAATGCAAAGTGGCAAGATTTTGCTACTTTACATGTCTCTGAGCCACTTTTAAAGTATTTTTTTTCACTGTTTGAGTTTCAGGATTTCTTTTCTCAGTGTAAAAGTTCACATGAAAAAAGTCTCTACATTGTCTCCTTGATTTTAAGGAAAATGTAACTTTTGTTGGACATGTGTGATTCCTGGAGAATATACTGGTACATGATACAGGGACCAGAGTTAGTTCTGACTTGGCTTTAATAAATCTCATAAATTTAAGATCCATTTTTTATCTATCCATCTTTATACCCTGTGAAGTATGAATGTTGATTGCCTAGCTTAGTTCTTAATATTTTCTTTCCTCTGTCTTTCTCCCCATAACATACACAGCTTTACTTTTCTTCATTTAAACACATTTCTTGATCTTTTTGTAGTAGGTAATTAAGAGATTTAACAATTCATCACAACTAGGTCACTTTATATTTTCCAAGTGAAAGATATAGGAATTAAACCCTAAGAAAATGTGATGCAGGAATGGTGGCTGACGTCTGTAATCCCGGAACTCTAGGAAGTTTAGGTAGGAGGGTTGCAAGTTTAAGCTCAGCCAGGGTAATTTAGCGTAAAGACCTTATCTCAAATTAAAACAAAACAAACAAAAAAACCCATATATATGTATGTGTATATTACCCTGTGTTCAATCCCTAAGGCCTCCAAAATTTAAGAAAAAAATTTTTTAAAGTATGATTGACAAAAGAGTAGAAGTATAAAGTTTTACTGATAGTACTAACATAAGAAAAGATTTGAGTGAATGGCTAAGCCTGTTGTGTTCCTGCATGAACAGTTCTTCCTAAAGAGGACAATTTGAATGCAATCTCATCAAAATAGCCATGGAATTTGAGGATTAAGATTGGAGATAGAATTTAAATAATTTTTAAATTCTGCTTGAAAGTACAAGAATAGCTAATACTGAAACTAAAGAAAACAAACCTGAAACTACAGATGTCTGGGTGTTTAAGAGTTAGCAGTTAAACTGCGTTTGGTGGTACATGTCTGTAATCCCAGTACTCAGGAGGCCAAAAGTTTAAGGCCAACCTGGGCTACATAGTTGAGTTCAGAGCCAGCCTGAACTATATAATGAAACTTGTCTTAAAAGAACCAAAAAAATTTTTTTTAGTTAAAAAAGGAAAAGAATCAACAGTCAGAGCAGAACAGATGATAAATAGCATCACAGTGCTGAGGATGTAGCTCAGTGGTAGAGCACTTGCCCAGCGTGCACAAGGCTCCGATCCCCAGCGCTGCAGAGGAGGATGGGGGAGAAGAAGAGGGAAAGAGGAAGGAGTGTAGAGAGGGAGAGAAATACAAAATCATTTCAGAAATGAGGCTGGAAAATGAATTAAATTAGATTTTCATCTACACTACAAGATACCAAAATAAGATTTAGTTGTGTTTAAGAGTTGAATATAAAAAATAGAACCTTTAACAAAAAAAGAGGAAGAGTAAATATTTAATTGCTTTCTAGATGAATAAGGACATGTGAAACAAAAATGGTACAAATAGTTGAACAGCCTTGACTTTGAAAAATTTTAAAACATCTCTCAACAAAAAAAGATGAATAAATCTTTTTTGAAGATAAACTAGGACCAAATATAAGAAAAGAGTAATATCTTTAATCATAAAGAGCTCTTACAGCTTAAGAAAAATGAATCAACAGTAACGTGCAGCTGGGCTTGGCGACACTTGCCTGTGATCCCTGCACTCAAGAGAATGAGGCGGGAGGATCATGAGTTTGAAGCCAATCTGGGCTGCATAGCAAGACCCTGTTTTTAAAAACCATGAATGAATAATGAATGACAAACGAACAAGTGACTATACAGACGAGCCCAGAACTCTGAGAGACTGAAGAAGGATGAACAAATTCAGGCCCAGCCTGAGTAATTTAGCAAGACCCTGTCTCAAAATAGAAAGGGCTGGGGATGTAGCTTAGTGTACAGGTCCTGGGTTCAAAGGGATGTAAACTGAAAGAATAATGAGGTAACATATTCAACTTTAAAATTGAAAAAAATTAAGTGCTTATGATTTGTAGCATTATGAGAAGGGATAATTTTGCTAGAAAGCAATTTGGAAGTGATTTCAAGATAATTAATGATAATCAATCTTTGGCCTCATAATTCCACTTCTTAGAAATTGCCCTAAAGAATTAATGTAGTTCACTATGTAGTTCAAGGTGGCCTTGGACTCACTCTGTAGCCCAGACTGGCCTCAAACTCATGGTGATTCTCCTGCCTCAGCCTCCCAAGTGCTGGGATTACAGGTGTGCATCACCATACCTGACAATTTAATACACTTTTACATGTGAATACATCATGAATGTATCTTTCATATCCAGAACATTTCCAAGATCCAGAAGTATCTTTTATTACTCAATACCAACGCATCACCAAAAGTAAACACTGTTATTACCTCTAATTGTCATAGACTTATTTTGCCTACTTTTGAAGAGTCCAGCAATCAAGTAGAGAACTGATCAAATTTTTGGCTCTCTCTATGGATGTTTTGATTAAACTGTTAATGTAGTTTTTAGCTGGGTAAAGTGGTGCACACTTGTAACCCCAGTAGTAGGCTGAGGAAGCAGGATCACAAGTTCAAGCCCACCCTGGGAAACTTAATGATTTAGCAAAGTAAATCAAAAACAAAATAACAAAAGGGCTGGGATTGTAGTTCAGGTTCAGTCCCAAGTCCAAGTATAGGAGTTTGAGAGGTTATGGGGTACTTTCCTAGCATGTTTGAGGCCTTGGGTAGAATTCTCAGTACCACAAAAAAAGGGGAGGGAGAAAGTAAGTTTTTGTTTCAAAGTTTCAGATTGGGAAGATGAGAATGTTCTGGAGATGGATGAGTGGTGATATTTGCACAACCATGTGAATGTACTTAATGCCATTGAACTATACACTTAAAATGGTTAAAATGCCTAATTTTGTGTTGTGTATCTTACAATTCTAAAGTTTTTTTAAAAAATAAGTTTAAAAATATTTTTGGAGCCACCTGTAATCCCAGCACTCAGGATGCTGAGGCAGGTAGATTGCCGTGAGTTCAAGGTCAGCCTAGATTACATAGTGAGATCAAGACCAGCCTGATGTATAACAAGACTCTGTCTGAAAACATTAAAATTAAAAAATTTTTTAAATGTAGTTTTGTAGAATATTTAATGATGAGTAAATAATCTCAATATAATGTTTAATGGAAAAACATTCAGGATACAGTATATATGTAGCATAATCCTAGTTTTTGTGGATTGGAGGTTTTACTATTTAGACACATAAATGTACATTATTTCTGCAAAAATTTGAAAGCTTAAGGAGAGATTAGGTGATATGCCAATATATTAATACTAGTTTCATTTTTGTGATAATTCTTTTTACTCAACTCTATGATTGTTACATGTTCCTTTTACAATGAGATAAATGTAATAAACATTTTTTAACTAGAAAAGAAATTATTAAAAGTGAGAAAAAACTTTTCAAAAACTGACTTACTGGATTTTAAAATTACTTTCTTCAAGGCTTATTCTCCTTCTTCATCTCTTGTCTTCAAATATGTATTTGCCAAGTCCCTTTTCTTCGGGCCTGATTCTAGGTAATGGTCATTACCTGTTCCCTTTGTGTTAACCCAGATACCTTTATGGTAATGTAACTATTGAGGTAATTTTCATAGACCCTCTGTGCTAACAGTCTGTTTTTTTCCCAGGTATTGAATTGAAGCACCTTTGTCTGGAATATATGACCCCCTGGCTGTCAAATCTGGTCCGTTTTTGTAAGCATAATGATGATGCCAAACGACAGAGGGTTACTGCTATTCTTGATAAGCTGATAACAATGACCATCAATGAGAAACAGATGTATCCATCTATTCAAGCAAAAATATGGGGGAGTCTCGGGCAGGTATTGAGTTGCTAAAATACTTATCTAGTATCTCCTTTTTACAGGTAGTTATCTGTTGCCCACTCTGTGCTTGCCACAAAGGATATGCAGTAACTGAAAAAACAATTCTTATTTCAGAAGCAAGCACTCACCCACCTCTTCATTTGGTTTGAAATTATAAAAATCAAATGCACATCCCAGAACCAGAGAAAAACTACTTTACCACTCTTTTGTGGTTTAATTATATAGAGTTTAATTGTAGAAATCTAGTTTCATTTCTTTGGCTGGGCGTGGTGGCTCATGCCTGTAATCCCAGCACTCAGGAGGCTGAGGCAGGAGGACTGCTGCAAGTTCGAGACCAGCCTGGGCTACAAAGTGAGCTCAAGGCCAGCCTGAACTAAACAGCAAGACCCTGTTTCAAAAAGACAAAAAAAAGAAAGAAAGAAAGAAATCGAGTTTCATTTCTAATAATGCTTTGAAATGTATTCTAATCTCTACATGCCGGGGATATCAATAAATAATTCTTTCTTCCCTCCCTTCCTCTCCTGCCTTCCCTCCCCTTTTCTTGTCTGTCTCTTGTCTCTCTCCTCTCTCTTTTCTCCCCCTCCCCTTCTCCCTCCTCTCATCCTCTGTCCTCTGTCCTCTGTCTCTTCTCATCTCATCAAAGATGAAACCCAGGGCCTTTATACTGAACCATAACCCCAGGCCTTTTCTTATTTTTTATTTTGAGACAGGCTCTTGCTGTATCACTGTTGTTCCGGCAGGGTTCTAATTTGTGGTCCTCCTTCCTCAGCCTCCCAGAGTGCTGAGATTATAGACACAGACCAGCACACCCAGCTCAGTAAATATTTCTATATGCGTGCTACTTGAGACATTTGCTCTTGTTTATAGTTCTAGAAATAAGAATACCGCTGTTAAAATATAAGATGTAGGCTGGGGATTTAGCTCAGCGGCAAAGCGCCTGCCTGGCAAGCGCAAGGTCGTGAGTTCGGTTCCCGGTACCGGAGAAAAACCAAAAAAAAAAAAAAAATATATAAGATGTAGCACTGGGCGTGGTAGTGCATGCTTGTAATCCCAGCGCTCGGAGGCTAAGACAGGAGGATCACTGAGTTCAAGGCCAGCCCAGGCTACATAGGGAGTTCAAGGCCAGCCTGGACTATGTAGTGAGAGCTTGTCTTAAGAAAGAAAAGGCGGGGAGGAACTTTTTTAATCTGAGAGGAATTACACGTATTATTTCTTCAAAGTAAGCACTTAAGGAAGCAGTGCCCTTACTCAAACAATGCTGCAAGTCGTACACACAATTGTAAGAGACCTCAGAGCCAGTTTCATAGCCCTAGAAAATTTTTCAGTACTTACTGTCACTTTCTGTGTTTCAAAACAATTAGATTGGTCACTTCATTACTCTCTTAGAGGAACACAGAAATGCTTTGTAAGAAAATGAAGTTAATCTCTTACTCAGAAGGATTCAAGTGAATATCTTCATCCTTCCCTGGATAATTGATGCTAGGTTATATTTATTGATACATCTCTCAATAAAACCTGGTATTTTGGAGGCTTCAAGTAAAACAGATTTTTCGTGTTGATTGGGCTGTTCTTTGAATATTTTTAAATTAAAAATTAAGTAGGTAGTGTTGTTGAAAACATTGTTTTTCTCCCCCCTTCACTAGATTACAGATCTGCTTGATGTTGTACTAGACAGTTTCATCAAAACCAGTGCAACTGGTGGCTTGGGATCAATAAAAGCCGAGGTGATGGCAGATACTGCTGTAGCTTTAGCTTCTGGAAATGTGAAGCTGGTTTCAAGCAAGGTAATCACTTTTCCTTTGCCTTCTGACAGTGGCATAATATATCTGTTTTTATCAGCAAGAGGATTTTTGTTTTGTAGCTACATATTTTATAGTTAAACTGAATTTTTTATGATACAACTTTAGTTCTGTATCTTTTAAAATTCTGCTTCTTTACAGGTCATTGGGAGGATGTGCAAAATAATTGACAAGACATGCTTATCTCCAACTCCTACCTTAGAACAACATCTGATGTGGGACGATATTGCTATTTTAGCCCGCTACATGCTGATGCTGTCCTTCAACAATTCCCTTGATGTGGCAGCTCATCTCCCCTACCTCTTCCATGTTGTTACTTTCTTAGTAGCCACAGGCCCATTGTCCCTTAGAGCTTCCACTCATGGATTGGTCATTAATATCATCCACTCTCTGTGTACTTGTTCACAGCTTCACTTTAGTGGTAAGTTCCAGGGAAGTAACTTGCATTTCATCAGTTCCTCTGTCCACTTTACTTCACTTGACTTACTATACTTCACTTGACTACTATAAATTTATTATTATTATTATTATTATTATTATTTTGGTATGGGACTTGAACTCAGGACTTTGTGCTTGTCAGGCAGGTGCTATTTATGATGGTGTCTTAACATCAAGCTGCTCATATAGGTCTACAGTAGTGAGTTGAAGTTTTATCAAAATGAAACAATGAATTACTTTCCATATCAAGCTATAATAAAGATTTATGTAGTTATTGAATAAGCTAAACAGTGTAAATTGACAGTGTTGCATCACTAGTATTTACTACTACTAATCTGTGATTAAATGATGCTAAAGCAGTAGGCATTAATATATATCTAGTGGTTTGATTTAGGGAACATGGTTGTGTAATTTTTATATGATCAGATTTTCTAAATTGAAAGTGAAACAACATCCTCAATGTATTACTTGTTTCTTTTCTCTTTTACAGAAGAAACCAAGCAAGTTTTGAGACTCAGTCTAACAGAGTTCTCATTACCCAAATTTTACTTGCTGTTTGGCATTAGCAAAGTTAAGTCAGCAGCTGTCATAGCCTTCCGATCCAGTTACCGAGACAGGTCCTTCTCTCCTGGCTCCTATGAGAGGGAGACTTTTGCATTAACATCCTTAGAAACAGTCACAGAAGCTCTGTTGGAGATCATGGAGGTATGTAGGGGACAATGACAAGAAATTAAGTGAAAAATCATTTTTTTAAAATCCACTACTGCTGTACAAAAGAAATACCAATTTATTCTGCTGTTATACAGTTAATACTTAAGACACGTTTCATGGAATATGTTAACGGTAACAATGTCATCTATTAAAAAAAAATTAAAATTAAAAAAATGTCATCTATATGCAGGCATGGTGGCACGTACCTGTAAATCTAGCACTCTGGGGATCCAAGGCAGGAGGATCACAAGTTCAAGCCAAGCCTGGGCAACTTAGTGAGACCCTGTCTCAAAATTTTAATTAAGGGCAGGGGATGTGGCGCAGTACGGAGGCTCTAGGCTCTAGGGAGCTGGGGTGTAGCTCAGTGGTAGAAGACTTCAATCTCCAGTACCACTAAAAAGAAAGAAAAAGCCATGTGTTTATAGTAATGATATTATAATGAATGTTATTTAAATGTTTCTTTAAAAACATATATACACTTACATACTCAGCATTTTTTCCTCCTACCCCTAGGCTTGTATGAGAGATATTCCAACATGCAAATGGCTGGACCAGTGGACAGAACTAGCGCAAAGGTGTGTCCCCAATTAAAAATAAGTTGTAAAATCATGTGTATTATTGAAAAAAACGGGCTGGATGCATAGCTAAGTGGTAGAGCACTTTGCCTAGCATGTGGAAGGCCCTGGGTTTGAAAACCTACAATTAAAAGAAAAGAAAACAAAGTATTAGTGCATACTCAGTATCTTATTTAGTATATTCTGTAAAGATACACAAAGGTTTTCATAAGGTCTTCGGATCTTTTATTTGCAGATTTGCATTCCAGTACAATCCATCCCTGCAACCAAGAGCTCTTGTGGTCTTTGGCTGTATTAGCAAACGAGTGTCTCACGGGCAGATAAAGCAGATAATCCGTATTCTTAGCAAGGTACTTCTCCCTCTCTTCTCCCAACTATTTGTGGTTTCCAAATTGTAAAGCATGTCTTCCACTTCTTAAAAGTCATTTAGATTTAACAAAATGTCTTTTGCCAGGCATGGTGGTACACACCTGTAATCCCAGCACTTGGGAGGCTGAGACAGGAGAATTGCTGTGAGTTCGAGGCCAGCCTGAGCTACAAAGTGAGTTCAAGGCCATCCTGAACTGCACAGAAAGACCCTGTCCCAAAAAAAAAAAAAAAAAAAAAAGAAGAAGAAAAAAAGTCTTGTACATTGTTTATTAAACCTTTAAAAATGAGCTTTACTATTTTCTTACTGTAATTCTTTGAAGAAATCCTCTGTAGATGTCTTTCAAAGAAAAGTATTTTGCCTGTTTTGCTAAGCAGATACCCTTTTTTTATCGATTTTCCCAAGCATTTAATTACATAGTAAAACTATAGCTTTATGTTGAGCTTCATAATTTGTAATGTTTGACCTATTCAAATACAATATAGAAATACAGTTTTAGAGTTAATGTTTTATTTCACTGAACGTAAAATGAAGAATTCTCTTTCCCTAAAAGGCACTGGAGAGCTGCTTAAAAGGACCTGATACTTATAACAGTCAAGTTCTGATAGAAGCTACAGTAATAGCACTAACCAAATTACAGCCACTTCTCAATAAGGTAATTATTGTATAGAACATTAGTTTTCTTTCTTTTGGGTGTCAGTGTTACATGTTCTTGTAGAGTTCAGAAAATGGATTGAGAAGCATTGATAGAAAAAGCTATAGTGAAAGCATAACTTCTTGTCATAAAATTTAGTTGTTTTGTTGGGTGAGGTGGCACATGCCTGTAAACCCAGTGCTCAGAGGCTGAGGCAGGAGGATCACCTCGAGTTCAAGGCCAGCCTGGACTACACAGTGAGACCCTGTTCCAAAAAAAAAAAATTTGAGTTGCTTGAAGGAGTTACATTAGCAAAAGAATAAGTATGGAGTTTATGTTCTAAGGTGCCTGTAATTTTTTTTTTTTTACCAGTGCTAAAGAGATGGGTTTATAGTCTTAATTTTTTTCTAGTATTAATTGAGCCTTTGCTAGAACTTGGTACTCTCTTAGAGGCTAGCGATTACAAAGCCAATAGAATTGCCTGCCTTCATGGTGCTTACATTCTGGGGTAGATGTGGAGGTTGAGGTGTGGATGGATGATAAACTAAGTAAAATACTTGGTATGTTAGTTAGTGATCATTACTGTGGAGAAATGTAAAGCTAAGAGAAGTAAATGTGATCTTCACAAGTGTTTGGTGCTGGGTTAGGGTTGTAGCTCAGTGGTAGAGGGCTTACCTATCATATACAATGCCCTGATAACATTTCAGAGGAATAAAATGGAATAACCATTCTTCATCATGGGCTGAGCTGATCTTACCTTTCCTACCTTGAGCAGGTTATTTAACATATCTGGACATCAGGTGTTCCCCACTGATAAAATGAATGGACAAGACAGTGGCATGATTTTACCTTCCAGTTTCTAGAGTCATAATTCTGTGAATTGAGTTCAAAGATACACTAGTCTTAGAAATGATTATAGAAAAATAAATGCCTATTATGTTCCTAGTGAAGTTAAATATTCTACAAACATCTTGATCTTAAATGATATAAAATTACTTTTATCCTTTTTCTATATAAGTAAAAATGAGACTCAGAAAGACTAACTTTCCCAGAATCCCATTCATAATAAAACACAGAACCATGATTCTAGTCCAAGGGTGTCTATGTCTAAAGTCTTTATATTTTCTTGAATAGCGCAGTGCTAAATAAGGATCACCCATAGCATACAGTTTTACTTCAGAGCAGCAGGAGACCGCTACAGTAGTATGAGTGACAAGCTGAAAGGGGAGAGTTTAAATGAAAGGGATTGACAGGATTTAGTACAGGGAGAAAGGCAAGTGAAGGCGCAGCAGGAGGTGGAAGGCAGTGAATGTGCAGCAGGAGGACTATACAAGAAGGGCAGAATGGTGAGTGGGCCATTCTCGCTATGAAGAAACTTGCAAAAGAGCAGTGAGAAAGAAGGTTGTGAAGATTGGGTATAACAAATGTAGCATTAAACATTCTTCAGAAAGGAGTTTGGAAATTTTCTGCCAGACCAAAAAAAAAAAAAAGTCAACAGCAGGACTTAGATCATTCTAGTATTAGACTGCACAGTGCATCTGAGGGGAAAGGAACTGGAGACAGAAGGAATCAACATTTAGAATAGAGAAGATTGGCATGAGGTAGTATCACTGGCAATGAGAAAGAAAGGGGCTGGGGATATTGACGAGTAGTGTAGTAGAGTGCTTGTCTAGCCCGTGTGAGGCCTTGAAGTCAGTCCCAGTATTAGGGGTGGGGGTGGGGGCCAGAAAGAGAGAGACGCAGAGGCAGGGAGAGAAAGGAAAAGTGGATCAGCGAACCTTAGACTTGGATTTCAAGCTCCAAAACAGGAAGAAGTCAAATAAGTTGCTAAGGTTCTGAGCTCAGCTACGTTTCTTTCTGGCAAGGGAAAGACAGAGGACTTATTATGTATTTACCTTCACCGAAAGAGAAAACACGGATAACTGGGTGAGGTAGATTGCTTCATTTCATGCTCCAGTGTGCATAATCGCAACTGTTTGATGGCGCGTCTTGCTAAGCTGAACACATCTTCTTCGCCAGGACTCCCCTCTGCACAGAGCCCTGTTCTGGGTGGCGGTGGCTGTGCTGCAGCTGGATGAGGTCAACTTGTATTCAGCAGGCACTGCCCTTCTGGAACAAAACCTGCACACCTTAGATAGTCTCCGAATATTCAATGACAAGGTAAGCAAGCTTTCCTTTGGAATTCCTATGTTAACTCACTTTAATATTCTTTTTTCCTTCATTGTAGTTCTTTTAAAATCAAAAGAGCTTCATAACTGAAATATGAATATTTATCATGGAGTTTATTATTAGTATAATTATCTGCCAGCTCATAAAAACTATCTAACAGTGGAAAGAAAGGTTTGTGCTAATATTGTTTGGACAATTAAGTGCCTACAATTTGTAATTGCTAAATTGTGGAAGCAACCCAAATGTCCATCCAGCGAGGATTGGATGAGAAAATTGTGGTACTTTTATATAATGGAATATTAC